TACTTATCCAGGTAGTCTCATTGAGCCACGAGAACTCATTTTCAAGATATATGTAAAGGTGTTTAAATCCTTCCCACACTCTTGCAATATTCTAAACAATGTTTCAAAACTCTAAATGCTCTAAAAGAGCACAGCATGTCATTTCAGCTCTCTGCCAACCGCCGACTCTTGGCCACGCCTACTTCTCCGCTGCAGAGCAGCGATCAGCTGATCAGCTGCAGGAGGAAGTTTCTCCTGAAGCTTGGGTTGCACACAGGGGCAAATAATTTAAAATATTTATTTTAAATAAAAATTCCATGCCGATCGTGCGGCTCATTCATCAATCAGCCAATTGTGTGTCTGTGTCATGTCCAATCTTACTTTGAAAAACCGCAATAGAGCGAGTCTGCAAAAAACGAATTGCAAAGTAGCGAGGGACTACTGTATAATTAAAATATAAGAAGTGCCCCAGCCTGCTTTGGAAGTGATATAGTTAGCTGCAGCAGCTGACAACCACAAGGTTTGATGTAAATAAGAACATAAACCAAAACTGATGTTGGTGTATTATCCATCCATCCATCCATCCATCCATCCATCCATCCATCCATCCATCATCTTTACACACTTTTTACGTTTCAGTTTGCAGGGGTCACTGGTGCCCATATCCAGTTATCACCGCGCAAGAGGTGGGGGACAAATCCGTCATAGGGTTGTTGGTGGTGTATTAGTTTATAAAGCAGTTTTTCCATTAATCATTTGAAAAAAAAATAGAGCTGGAAGAAAGCAACAATCCCCCTTTTGATCTAGGCTCTATTGGAACTAGTCATTAAATCATCAGTCTGTAAAATCTGTTCCTCCAAACTCAAGTCATTCAAAGAGCTTTCTACAACAGGTAAAATATTAAAAGTTCATAATCTTTCCACAGAACTCCAGTTCCCCAAAATCTGAACTATTGATTTACCCATGGCTACATGTACAGGTGGATAATGAAATTAAACATGTGTAAAAATCATTTGCAGACAGATGTGGTGACAGCAAGATTTGAATTATATAAGTTATTGCAATATTAAAAGACTTTCCTGAATTGCTCATTTCTTTACATATTTAACTTGACAAGACCTGCAGAGATGTCTGACTGATCGTAGTGATTGTTCTTTGACACTGTCCAGTGAGTCATTTAAACACCTCTATGGCGTCCAAAATCCAATGAACACATGATCATGTGCAAACAATGTTAACATTAAATCAGACACCAGAACATGACAGATGTGGACAAAAATGAAAATTTCCATTTAAGTACTCACTTAAATGAGATTCCCATATGAACTTGATATGCCATGATCCTGACACAGTACAGTATATTAGATATTTGCACCAACATTTTATAATTTAACATTTCCTTTAGTAACTCATAAACATCCCGTCTTAAAATGCTTTGCAAAGCATGAACATGTTAAGCTTCTAGTTTACAGCCTTGTTTTCTCACATGCATCTTTGTCTACATTCATGTGTAAACAGCCATTCCCACGAGGTCAGCCTGCATAGACAAAGCAGCAGAGGGGGGTGAGGAGGTGGGAGTGGGTGGTGGTGGAGGAGGAGCAGGCTGGGTTAACACGAGGCATGGGAGTTGAGCCAGGCAAAGCAACTGACTGACCTGGTTGTGAAGCAGGAGAGAAAGAACATGTACCTCTCTGCAGGTGGTGGATCCAAACCTCCCTAAACTTCCATTACCCCCACACCACCCCCATTTCCTCCACCACCTGCCTCCTACAGGCCTGCAGTGATGTTTGTACCTTCAGGGTGCTGTGAGAGTTGATGCTGCGCCTGCGGCCCTCCTCCAGCTGCATCTCAGAGTAAAGATCTTCCTCATCCTCCTCCATTATGTCAGATAGGTCGGAGCCACGGCTACTCTCTGTGTGGTAATCCTCACTGTGGCTGTAGTGGTGATGATAGTGCTACATCAAAAATAATAATTAATAAAATGAATAAAGGATGCAATTTTAATAGAGAAAGAAAACGAGTCTTTTACTTACGTCTTATTTTAAATGACCAAATACCAAAGAGACAAACGGTGTTTGTTTTTCAGGTAAAAAATACTAAAGTGGCACAAAATATGTACCTCCCCCCCAAAAAAAAAAAAAAAAAAATCAGAACATCAACTATATAATCACTGTTATACTAATACACAAATGCTTTATTAATGAAATGGTTCTATTCATTAGCTTAAAGCCATAATAGCTGTGAAAATATGCAATTTTCCCGTGTTTAGATTAGATTTTTTTATGCTTCTAACATAATTTCTAAATTATGAAATAATTATTGGTGACATTTATTTTTTAAATAATATTTGGGTATTGTGACCTGTTCTATTTGTGTTTACAATATTTAATGCAAAAGTTAAAAAAAGACAGAAAATAAAAGGCAGGATTTGACAGACCAAACAAAAGATAAAAAAGTGTTGAAGTGCTGAGAGCAGCTCCAACCTTCTGAGAAGTACCTGTCTGCCCAGCTCCGAGCCTCTCAGGAATTCATCTACCGAGGCTCCTCTTCTTCTTGCATGAGGAGAGTCATAGCCATCCTCTTCCTCATCAGAGTTGATTGGATGCAAGGCACTCCCTCGCTCACTGAAGAAATTCCTTTTCTCAACCTGTCAAAAGAAATGTTGATTCATCAGACTCGAACAGAGAGAGGAAGAAAACTACAAACTTTGAGCTGTCTGTCTCTCGCCTCCAAATAATGTTTGCCACGTTTGTCGTGATGTGTTTGCAATTAATTCTTAATGAAAAGTTTGAAATCTTTTCTTTGTGTGCAGAACAAAAAGAAGTGAAGCTATGATAATCTTGAGTCATTCCATGTCGGTACATTCTGATTTCTCGGGTCATTTCTGAGTTAGATGCTCACGCACCCGGTTACCATCTGCAAATGCTCTCTGGGCAGCTTCCCTGGCCATGGCCTTGGCGATGGTGTTGGGGATAGGGACTCCCTGAGGCTGCGGCAGGATCCTCTGAGGAGAGGGAGAACGCCTGGGTGGGAAGTGCGGTGGCTCCAGACTGGATCCATGCATGGTAGGCAGAGGGGAGGGGGAGCGCTCCCAGGGCTGGGCTGTCCGTAAGCCCACCTCATGATCTTTGGTTTCTGGCTCTCTGGCACTTAGTAATGGTTTTGACTTGGGCATGGAGTGGCGCTGAAAATGATGCTGAGGATGTGGAGAAGGAGGGTGGCGAATAGGCTGCGTGTGTGGTTGTGCGTGGGGTAGCGTGTGGGGCTGCGGCAGAGGCTGCATCTGTGGCTGAGGGTGATTTGCGGGGTATGTTGATGGGTAGGGGGGATGAGTCTGGGAAAAGGCCGGATGGGGCTGCGGCACTGGGTGGGGCAGAGGATGAGGAGATGCGGTGGCTCTGCGAGAGAGGTGCGGAGAGCCCAGGAGATTGTGCGGGATGATGGCCACAGGTGAGTCCTGGGACTCGCCTTGGGTTGATAACGTCCTTACAATGACCTCCCTCGCCTCCAGACCTTGGATCCTGTTTAAATCCACGGTCACATAGTCGGCTGTGGGGAACAAGACCTCCGCTATCTGCATTCACAAAGGAACCAAAACATGTTTTACCAAAAAGTCCCCCAGAATTACAAACATTCATTACCTCCTCTGTGCAGCTCTTTCCTGACACAAGCAAACAGATGTTTGTATCATTTGTTGTTCCATTAGTGGTTCAAATGAATTTTGGTTGTGAAGCCCCAGCACTGAGAGCCTGACCATAATAACACGTTTCCCTAAAGCATTTTTTGTGTCATTAAGTAAAAATCCCATTAAAGTAAAGTGCAAAGTTTTGTTTATTTTGTTTATTTTAAATGAATGAATAAATGAATAATTAAAAAAAAAAAGCAAGGTGCAATTTTGTCTTACAGGAAACTCAGTTTTTGAGGCTCCTCTTTTTCAGGCTTTACACTTCGCTCCACTCGTGGAATGTTTCAGAATACATTTTATTTAATTCATTTTATTTAGCTCATTTATTCACTCATTTAAATGAAACAAAATAAATTCATCAAAAAAGAAAAAAAACATTGAATGAAAAGGGTGCAGAAAGATGAAGAACATTCTTATATCTGCCCCTTATTTAAAATAAATAAATAAAAGTAAAATAACTTAAAATAAACAACAATTTAGGATTGAACATCTCCAAAGTGAAAACAAAAATATTAGGCATTTTTCACATGGCACCATACTTTCCTAACAATTTGAACTTGATCATCTTTTTAAACATATAAATTGTTTTAGAAATTTTTATGGTGATATTGAGGCAATTCCACAATCCTATTCCTAATCTTCAGCTAACATAACAATGTTTCAAATCGGCTCAAGGAAGTCTATTTGATATAAAATACTGGGGAGATGGTTCCTTGTCAGAAAAAAATAAAAATAAA